CTCATTTAGTGTTTTATTTATCTTTAGCAAATTTTCTAATGTTTCTATTTATGTATGATTATTTCTTTGTGTTGTATAATCGTTCATGAGGGATAATAACATACATACATACATACATACATACATATGTGCCAGAGCTGTAAAACTGTGAAATCATTTGAAATTAAAAATCATCAATTTTATATTGTTATGTTTTCATTGAATTCTCCCTTATTGAATAATGCGGCTTAAAGTTTTCCAATTCTACATTCACTCAAAGTAGATACGATTGCACACATTTCCATATTCAAAGAAAGATTGAAAAAAATTGAATGACGAACGATTCACTTTTAACACTGAATAAGCACTCAGATGAATGCAGCTTTTGCTATGTGTGCACACATCCACTCAGTACCAATCAACTGATATAAATATTTTGAACACACAAAACCCACTGAAAAATACGCCAGGTTGCATTTTATTAAAAAGACTGCAAAAATTCAACACGCAAAATAGGTAATAGAGCGTTATCATCAGTTTTTTTCACTTAAATTTGTACAAGGATTTATAAGAATAAAAATTATTAATTGGAGAAATATTTTTTAGTGAACGTGTCGTTAGAATGTCATTATGAAAAATATAAATTATTAATGATTTTAACATCTCTGTTTAGAAAATTGTCAGCTTTCCAAAAAAGTGTTACCAATATACCATTAATAATGCATAATGCATAAATTAGTACATACATATATAAGTCAATATAAACTAACAAATTTAAGAGCTTCTGGTTCTAACTTTAGACATACATATACATTTCATTATTTAATTATAAACATTTTTGATACAAATTTCTTCGTACTTTTTTTCGTCGCTATTGGGTCAAGCAGTTAATGAAGATTCGAAAACCGAATTTGTTGGTTTGTGGAGGTTTTTTCATTTACAATAAGCCACAAATTATCAACATTTCCAACAAAAAAATATTTAACAAAATTCGTTGGTCTCTATTTTCATTAACATCCTTTTCCGTAAGTGCAATATTTATGAATTTATACCCATTTCATTGAGCACGCTTTGTTTTTTTGGTTTGTTTGTTAACATCAAAACTACATATCGACACCTAAGTGGAAGATCGACCTATCTCGGCAGCCAGTTCGAAAACTCCCTATCTCACCCTATTTCAGAGTTTTGTTGAAGAACGCCCTATCTCAGAATGCGGTTCAAAAACGCCCTATCTCGGCAAATTTTCAATATATTTTCATTTGAGATAGGGCGTTCTTCAACCAAATTCTGAAGTAGGACTTTCATAAAAAGCTTTCTGAGTTAGGGCGTTTTTGAATTGGCTGCCGAGATAGGTCGATCTTCCAATCAGGTGTCGGTATATTAATAAAACATGATTAAACATTGTCTGCTGTAACCTATTTTAGAAATAATTTATTTATTAGGATTTGCAATTTGAAAAAATCAGTTCCTTCCAATTTTGGGAATCAAACGGGACCCCACACAAGCAAAAATCGTTTTCTACAATCTTTATTAACCTGAAGGGCTAGACAACAAACAACCGCTATGCGAACAAAGTTATAATACCCATGTGCACAAATGCACTCGGGTGTAATTATTTCTTAAAACATTATTCTAAATGTATGTTTTGAGCAAATTGATTTCAAAAGTTAGAAATATGTCCCATTTTTCAAAAATGTATAATAATAAACATGTGAGTTTCTTAGCAATTTGTTTTCTGTAATTAAGGAAATATTGAATTTTTTGAATTTTTCGAAATTACCGTTTTATGGGAGGGACCAGGTTATTGTTTAATTTTTGAATTTTCAATACGCTTCTGCCCTGCATAAAGGGAAACCCGCGTACCGAATTTTCTTCCGATATCTCAACTTTTCCTAGAGTTATCGTGTACACAAACAAACGGACAGACAGACAGACGGATATGGACTAATCAACTTCTCTTTTTATTCTGGGCATTTACGGTATATACATACATATGTACATAAATGTAGTATATATCTATCTCGATTTTGGTTGTTCCAAATATCCGTTACGTGAGAAAAGTTATAGTATAGTATTGCGGAAGTGCGTAGTAAATATGTTTAAATAGTACACCTTTTAATTAATAATTAATAAAAAAAATTTTACAATGTAACTCCTCAACCCCTCTATAAAGAAAACAAGAACCCTTATAAAATTTCGTTTTGAAAGTTTTCAAATTTGAAAACTGAAGAAAAAAATTAATAGAAAAAAAATCATATAAATTAAATTTATATATACATATATTCTGGGAAAAAATGTCTACAATCAATTTTTAAACCCTTTTCGCAATTGTAACCGGTAAATTTTGTTACCATCTCATAAGCTGGTAACAAAATATTGCCCCGCCCCGTGAAATATGCAATGCCAGAATTTCCACAATTCTTCATGGCTGAATTGCTGAATATATAGCATTACCAACGTTCCTAGAATCGCGGTGACATGAACAGGTAACATTTTTTGGTAATATAATTTTCCGGTTACAAAATCTTCGGTTACGTGCAGAATAGACCTTTTATAGTTCTAAAAGTCTATAATACGAAGGGACATATGCCGGTAATGAAATTCTTAAGTTTTTTCAAGCAAGAGTTTTAAAAACTCCATTCTATTGACACCGTTTTATATTTCTATATACAGTTCACTAGTTTCGAATCTAATATATGTAAATGTATGTATCAAGATGTGTCCTTTGTGCTCGACGGTTGCGATGTTTGTTTGGACTGATTTCGCACCAGTCATTAGCCATGGGTTAATGTCAGAAAACGTCTATACATACGCGTTGAAATACATACATACGTATACATATATGTTTTTTTTCAATTCCAGATATGTTTAAACTTTAAAGTATAAAATATATCAACCCTGGGAAAAAAGTATTAGTACTAAATGGTAAAAACGTGTGCATTCATTTTAATTATACAATCATGTGTGTGTGCGAATGCTTCTGTTACATTCACATTCCATACTGAATGTCAATCTACCATTCAAAAACACAACACAGTTTATTTGTTTTCAAGCATTTTAAGCCACTCAGGAATGAGGCTTTTTTTATACAAACAAACAATCAAAATTTTGAAAAGAATGTCGAGTGAATGCAGATCCTATTGATTCAATCATTTTACAGCTCTGATATGTGCATAGGTACTACACAGTGTTGGACAAAACATATGTTCATACAAATAAAAGTTATTTTGAAATTAATTTACCCATTTTTCTTGAGAATTGAAGTCAGCGGTTCATGTTCCAGCACCCGCGCCACAAAACATATTGGACTGATCTTAATTTACTCCATTATAAATAGTATATATTTGTTTACTTATTTACATATACAGAATTATTCCAATTTTTCATAAAAATGTTTGGAAGGCAAAGAACCACAAGAGGAGTTCTAAAAATTCCTTGCCGAAATTGAAAGTACGTTAATCTTTTGTAGTACAACAAATATCTGACTTAAATATAGAGAAAGAGATAAGCAAAAAATAATATATGTACAATGTACATACAATTAAACAAAGACCAAATAAAATAAGCAATATTTATACATACATCCGCCAACTTAAGAATGAACGCAAGGCCAAAGAAACAAACTATTATAATAAAAATTGTGCACAAGTGCGCTCGGGTATATAAATATAAAAATACAAATGCGTAAAAATGAATCTGGAAACTTTCCTATTCGGCCTATTCTCGATAATTAGTTGTTTACACTTTTATATGGAAGTGCGTCGCATTACATTTGCAAGCTATTTCTAAGTAACGTTAAATTGTGGAAAAGGGACTTTTGTGGTTTGAGTGTTTTCATTGTCATGCTAAGCGTGATTTTTTTATCCCTGCGATGCTAAGGTACTATGGTAAATGTGAAACTTAGTTATGCTAAAAATGATTTTTTTAATAAGTAAATTTAATAATTCCTGGTTAATATTGATGTTTTTTGTTATTTAAATTATGGATAGCCATGCAAGATTGCGTCCTTTTTCTGATAAAAATATAGTATAATATTTAGTAAAATGAAACATTCGAAAAAATCAGTGTAAATAAGAAAACAAATATGTACTATACAATTTTTTATGTATTTTTATGCACACTATTCAACAAAACAACTTTATTTTCGATAGCCTTATATGGCCAAATGTTGCCACAATAAAATGCTATGTTGCGCAATATTTTCTGAAAATGAGCAAATCCAAATTTTAAAATTCAATTATTTGTAAGAAAAATTTTAATTTGTATTGCGTGTATAAACTAATTAAACTATTTAACAATTTTTTCGAAATCTTTTAAGTCTCATTTTAAGCAAGTTCCGATTCCCAGTCAAATATCTTTTGTCCAACACTGTACATACATAATGTGTATGTTATACATACATATATACATATGTACATATGAGGCTTTGAGAGCCAAAGTAGCCTTACATTAAAAAGGTGAGGTACAGCTTAAAATGCATTAATAGAATGAAACGCTAATAGCCCGAGACACGCCTGTTCAATTTTATTTTACTCTAACAGGCAGCATCACGTAGATGCAATGAACTTTTCAGTGAAAGACCCTATTTATCTGGGACGTGAACCGGATGAAAAATTTGGTCGGTTCGGTTTAGCGGTTCGAACCGTTTTTGCACTTTTGGATTGGTTCGACAAAGCGTTTTTTTTAGTCTTTGAACCGGGGTTTTGGTTCTGTTCCAAAAAATAACGCGCAAGTCTAAGTGTAAATTGTCAAGTGTTACAAAGCGCAAGGTTCAATTTTAAGTGTGTGCTAAATGAGATGAGTTGCCTTTACATTTGATATTTCCACATGGTAAACAACCGGTTGTAGGTATTACCATATTTAACGAAACGAAACAAAAGCGTGTAAATTTATCTAATGAAAATTGGATTAAACTAACCTTTAAACCTTTATGAAACGTGGTTCGGCTTCGGTTCGGATCAAACATTTGTGGAAAATTTCGGTTCGGATAATGGTTCAGTTAATTAATAGAAAAAATCGGCTTTCCGGTTCAAAACCGGTTCGGTTCAAAACCTGTTCACGTTCTGCTATTTAGTGTTTATAAATCCTTCCTTCGCATATTATTTACTCAAACAAATTTTTTCGTATGTAGATATGCTCCTCTGACTCTCATTGCCTCATATGTACTTACATATGTATGTTCAAGAGTAAATTTTCATTTCAAATTAGCAACCAAACGGCAATTGATTTATGGATGTAACTAACTACTCCAGCGCCTAATTAATGGTATTTCAAAAAACACGGTTTAAAGTACGTACATATGCCACAAATATGAAGCGTTGAGATTCAAACAGCGATTTATTTCTCTGAGGAATATACATAAGTTTTGACTAAATTGGCTTTGTTCCTTCAAAATATACAATCATACATACATAGTACATACGTACGTCTGAGTCTCCCTGATTTCAAAATCCAGCCAACCAACGTTCCCACACTCACACTGAATGCACTTGCCCGCCCAGTGGTATGTACTTGTATACTTAGGCGTACATATACATATGTTTGTATGTATGCATGGAAGTATTCCACTATAGCACTCTATTGGACGTATTGTTCCTTAGGAGTATGTGGAATATTTCCGTTCGGCTTAGCAGGAGCAACGATTGCCTTCGGACAAGCTGGCCAAGCTGAATGTACCTAAGCCGTTGGAACCGGGCGATTTTTTGTCTTGTGTCTTTTCGTCGTTATCAAAATTATCACCCTGAAATAAAATAAACGAGTAGGTATAAACAATTTTTTTAGAGAATTATGTAAATGTGGGTAAAACATTTTATGTATAGAGTTACCCGGCGTTCGCGCTGTTCTCGGATTTTTCTTGCCAATGCTAGAAAAGCCTCCTCAATGTTTATGTTGCATTTGCAGGATACCTCAAAGAATGGCATATCGAAGTTTTCAGCAATCTGTGTGTGAAATAATTAAATTAATACATTTTAAATAGACTGAATGAAATAGGTATGTATTACATAATTAACTTTTATTTAATTTGCCATTTGAACTCACTTTTTCGCCTCTTTCTTTGTCAACCGCTCGCTGCGTTGCCGAACATTCGCATTTGTTGCCAACCAAGACTTTGACAACATCCGGTGACGCGTTCTACGCATATAAATCAACGCAATTTAGTAATTTGTTGTTAAATTATAAAAATTTATACATACATACATTCATATGTTTGTATTAGAGCATTGTACGAGTACATAATTATTTATATATTTAATAATCACCATATCCTATGCGGCGAGTACACACACCATTTGCTATCGCGACATCGCTGGCTATTAGATACTTGTTTAGTAATTGTTCAGGAAGCAAAAAGCCTGGCAATTTAAACGTATTTAGTTTGGCTAAACTAATTAAAATCACAAAATTTAGTTCCAAAAACTAGTCTTTAATCTTTAATTTGCTTATTAAGTTTTAATGTTTCTTGCTTAATGAATCCATTTATGTTTAAATTAACTGAATTTGAAATCTTAAACTTTATGCAATAGATATATATGTATGAAAGAGAAATCTCCAAATGTATCTAATTTATAATCGCACTGTGGCAATAATAAGGCGAGTAAGTTTCAACAGTATGTACATACAATCGTGCGATGTGCAACGTAATCGTGCAGTGCTCTTATATGTTTATATGAACATAACATATTTATGAAATACCTCTTGAATATTTCGCAGCCAATATGACAGGTTATTGTAACTCTCCAAGTTCGTCACATCATACATCAGTAGTATGCCCATAGCTCCGCGATAATAAGCTGTGGTTAGCGTTCGAAATCTTTCTTGTCCTGCTGTATCCCAAATTTGTAGCTTTATTGGCACTCCATCCAAGTTGATGAGTTTCTGTTTGAAATCGATACCTAAGCACGCAGGAAGTTAACTAAATTGTGAGTGGCTTAAAATAGATGTACATATGTATGTAAATAGAAATACCCCAAAGGATATAAGTGTATATGTATATATGTATGTATGTAGGTCTCCTTATCTGGTGTCGGAGCACAGCATGACAACAAATTGGTCGACGAGCCAGCCCGAAAGGAGTCTGGTCTTGATAAATAGCACTGTGTTAAAAATGTGGCCAACCTTGAGTAAAAAAAGACCTGCAATCATGCAGATTTATTTCTACATATTAATGGAATTGAAGCACCAAATTAGATTTTACATTCTGAGTAGAAAGCCCAGTGTTTCACCTGAAATGTACTCGAGTATTCGGCACTGGCTTTTGTACCAGTAGTATTTATTTTCTTTTATTATCAAATCTCACATTACAAACTTAAAGTACGATTTTTTTGGACTAATACATATACATACATATGCATTTGAATGTATTATGCAATCAGGTATTTTAAGTAGACGTACAAAATTTTAGTTAAACACAATGTTTAATGTCGAAAACCAGCATTAATTCGACGATATCACTTGTGTGCTGCCAAATTTCAGTTTCAAAAATTCGGTTTTTTGGACACACATATGTAGATGTGTAGGTATGCACAAAGGTACGTATGTAGTACGTATCGTCGTTTAACGTACAAAACCGCGTATCGTCATTCTGCAAAACCGCGTAACTGACATTTGCTGCCAAAAATTGAATTTGCTCACACATGCTCTTGGCTCAATCCTTATCCATTTGTCCTGAAATATACTAGCCATAAATGCGATTGCTTTATAAAACAGAGAGCCATATTGAAATATGAGTGTTTTTACTCTCTAGAAAATAATTTATGCAACCTCACATACGAGGTTTTGCATTTTGTTGATACGCGGTTTTGCATTTTAAACGCCTATATGTACATGATTGTAATTTTACTACGGCGTTAATATAATACAAAGAACCGTATATTTGTAACAGAGCTGGGTAATTTTTGATTACGATTACATTTCAATTACGATTGCGTAATTGTTATCCTTAATTATATACGATTACAATTACTTTAATTGTAATCATAAATGTTACCATTATGATTATAATAATTGTAATCTTAAAAATTTAGGGACTATGATTACTGCAATCGAAATCATGGAAAACTTGATTATGAATACCGTGATTGTAATCCTAAAAATTTTAAGATTACAATTACAGTAATTGTATATAATTGTTATAAGTACAATTACAGTAATAGTAGGGCTGACAATTTTCGGGATTACAATTACAATAATCGTAATCCAAAGTAATCAAAATGTAATCGTAATCATAAAGTGCCCAGCTCTGATTTGTAGTAATAACTGCATATATGTTACACATATTTACATTCATTTTACTACCTACATACATATCTATCTAATATATGTATGTACTATATACGCTTGTACATATGTATGTATGAGTTCGCTCCTCTGTAGGCACCCACTTACCTATAGTGGAAATGTATGTATCGTAGTATTTCTCATCACAATATCTATGGACTATACACGTTTTACCCACATTAGAGTCACCGAGCACCAGAACTTTATACGTCGCAACAAAGTCCAAAGCCATTGTGATTTATGGTATCAGTACCGCCTCTCTGGCTGCTATGATAATTTTGGCAATATAGACCGAATTTAACGGTGCTTGAACTGTATTTAAACGCAATGAAAATACTTTTTTTTTTTGGCTTTTGGATACGAGTATGTAATGAATTTTATTTTCACCCTTCTAGCTAATAGCTGAGTAAATCGTTAATCACTCGTGTATCTTAGCGAATTGCAGCCAATTAAGCTTGTAACAATTTATAATTTCCTTTTTTCGTTTGAATTTTGCAACCCGAACTTCCAGTTTAGTAAGCCTTTATTGAAAAGTATGATTCAGCATCACCAAGAAGA